CTTTGACCCTCCAACTGGGTGTTATAATGTATCCTAAGTAAATAAACATGGCTACATGAAAAAGATGATCATGATAAATTTAAAAGATAATATAAAAGAGATAAGAGTCAGACAGACGCTCATAACAGCAAACGTGTTTTGAAACAACCCTAACAAGCCCCAAATTGGAGATTGGCTAATCGCATCTCCACATTCTGGCTAAACAAATTATGGAATATCTATACAAAAGAATTCTCTGTCATCATTACTGATGATGTAGCAGACTATCAAATAGAAAGATACTTCCTAGTCAGTAAGTGACAAAGCAAACTACAAATTACAAAAGGAATGCATAATATAACCTCTCTTGGGTGATAGTATAACGTTGTTGAAAGGCTCCATACCAAAATATTAACAGTAGTTATCCATGGATTGTGGTCTCATTGGGTGATATATATATTTTTTTACTTTTATTTCCAATTTCTTCAATAGACAACTATATATTTTGTAAAACACTATAAAGTCCAAAAGGACACAGACTTTGTCATATTCATTTCTGTATGTCCAGGACATAGCACAAAATATTGCTCAGAAGTGTTCCAGTACTGTTTTGTTGAAGGAAGAAAAATATATTTAAATACGTTTTTGTTTGTTCTCTTTGTTTTGTTTCTTTTTGGCCACATGGAGAGGCATATGGAATCCTAGTTTCCCAACTACTGATCAAACCCACATCCCCTGCATAGGAAGCAGGGAGTCTTAACCACTGGATCACCAGGGAATTCCCCTAATACATGTTTCTATTTAGCGGCTGCTGCTCTTTAGTCGCTAAGCCCTGTCTGACTCTGTGATCCCATGGATCCCATGGAGCCCACCAGGCTCCTCTGTCCATGGCGTTTCCCAGGCAAGAATACTGGAATGGGTTGCTGTTTCCTACTCCAGAGGATCTTACCCACCCAGGGATCAAACCCACATCTCCTGCATTGCTAGGGGATTCTTTACCACTGAGCTACCAAGGAAGCCCCAGATTATAGTAACCATGAACAAGGGTGAAATAACTGGAACAGCAGGAAGTGGTATTGCTGCATTTCAGTCTAGAAACATGCACTAAACATTCACAGGAATATGTTTGCATTCCATACTCATTTTCCTATTATCAAACTCCATCTATTCTTGCATAAGTACCAGATAATAACCCATTCCACACAGCCACATCTGTCCAAATAGTCATTTACTCATGTGTAAAGGAACCCAGAAGGAAAGAAACGTAAAATAAATAAGTGAATTACAGAGAGAAAAAAAGTAAAAAAAAAAAAAAAAAAGACTGTGTAGATTAATGATTAAAACAAAAAGCATGATAAAAAAAGGGAGAGAGTAACTAGGGAGGAGTTCATTTACCAGTCACTGGATTAGCAAATTAATAGTCACTGGGACTATAAACAGAATGGATCTCTTTTCTTATTAAACTTGCAATTTCAACTCAATCGAGATGGCTTCAATATGAAAATATAGGAAGTAAGACAGTATGGCACAAATGAACTTTAGGTTCAAATGGAAACAGCTTCACAGCTTGGCTTTTAGCTTATTAGCTGATATACTGGACAAGCAAATTTTCTGCAACTTAGTTTTAATATATGTTTTAAAAAGTAAGAGAAACAGTGTACAAGGTATTGATATGTGAAGTGTACAGCTGCCAAGAAAGGACTCAAGAGGTGGTATCCATTAACTGTGTTCATCTATGTTACCAATAAGCCACTAATCAATGTAAGGGAATAGTATTATTAAAAAGAAGCTACTGCCTTTAAAAAAATAAAAGGAATTAACTGGGGTAGGGAAAATAGTGTCTCTGGTGCATTTAAGGTAAGGCACATGCAGGCAGGCACAGATTATACACAGGAAGTATTTCTGATTTGATACTGCTCAAGGTGAAATTTTGTTTTTTAAGCAAGTTTTATCAAAACAACTTACTGCTTTCTTTTCAAGCTTTATGAATTAAAAGAGTTTATTCCAAGACTGTTCCTTGGGAGCCCCACTCAAGGAAATCCCACTCTCAGCCTTCCTGGTACAAAGTAGGAGCTCCAAGAAATTCCCGGGACAAAAAAGAAGGGCTGAAATTAAAATTAACAATATAAAGGGACATGAAAAAGCCAGCAGGAGGAAGTACAAAAAGAAACTTTCCTGATACCCATGTGACTCCCAAAGAATCTTAGAAAAGAGGAGCAAAAGGAATACAGTTAAAAAGAAGCAGCTTTAAGAGGAAGGCATATATTAATAATAGAACAACAGGGCAGGTTTCTATGATGATTCCCTAACAGGGTTATATTCAAAAAAGTTTATGAGCTGTTATTCAGTCTGTGTCTGGCAACAAGCAATAATAATCACCTCTGTTTAAGCAATGTATAGAAGAAAATTCTTTAATTTGGAACTTTAGTATACAAGAAATTAAGAAAGAAAAGATTATGTAAAATAAATGAAACTGTAGAAATATGCATAAAAATTTTTCACAAATATAGGAATACAGGAATTCCCTGGTGGTCCAGTGGTTAGGACTTGCTGCTTTCATTATGGCTGGGTTCCATCCCTGGTTCATGGTTGGGGAACTAAGATACCACAGGCTGCGAGATATAGCCAAAAAAATAAATAATTAGTTATTTTTTTAAATATATAGTATACAGATCTGGGGTTACTGAATTGTCAGTCAGCCTCCCTCCCCTTCTTCCACCCTTTATCCACACTGAGGATGAGCATCATTTCAGAACTCAATGTCAGTCCTGTTTATTTTATTTTCTTTATCTGTCCTTACTTAAATTATTCCCCTCTTGAATTTCAAATTGGTCCTCACAATTAGATTGTGCAAACCAAGACCGTACACCACCGACAGTTTTTATTGTCTACATGGTATGACTTTATTTGTCTGTCTTCACTAGCATGACTTTACTATTCTCTTCCTCAACACAGCATTACTATTCCAGGAAGCTTTACCCAGGGAGATAAAAAAAAGGTGACTATTTATTCTCAACATTTTTGAAACCCTCACCTCACACCTTCACCTTGCTATGTATACCAAACCTAAACCATTATATCAAAATTGTTACCCAATTCTAACCAAGCCCTTGTATTGAAAGACCCATCCTCAGCTAGACTCAAAATCATTGTCCTCCCCAGGATTCCCCCATGGCTCAGAGGTGAAGAATCCACCTGCAATGCAGGAGCCACAGGAGATTTGGTTCCATCCCTGGGTCAGAAGATTCCCTGGAGAAGGGCATGGCAACCCACTCCAGTATTCTTGCCTGGAGAATTCCATGGACAGAGGAGCCTGGTGGGCTACAGTCCATAGGGTGGCAGAGTCTGACGGGAATGAAGCAACTTAGCATGCGTTCAGGCCCTCCCCACTCCAAGACTTTATTAAGACTTTGTCAAGATTCAGAGCTTTCTTGCCATGGCAAGCAACAAACTCAGCTTTGCTTTAGCGATGCTAAATGTTGGTGGTAAAGCAAAGCTAAATGTTGGTGTTATTTCTAGGGAGCCAGCATTCACTGTATTTGCTCAGGCCTTTGGGCAGCTAACTCTATTTCACAACAGGTTTGATGAGCTTCAGTCCCTAGCATGACAGCATCCACGCTCTGACTTTTGACAGCTGTCCAAAGAAATCTGCAAAGGGACCACATTTTAATCAAGCTTTTAAAATACAATCAGAACTTTAGCCTTACTCAAGTGTCAACGCCACCTTAAATCGTGTCTCCTCAACACACTTATTTCTCTCTCTTCCTTAATTTGCAACAGTTTACAACCAAAGACTGTAAGGTTGAAATGAGGAAGGGGCGAGAATGAAAAGTAATTGCTTTAAAAATGGAGGAACTACTTTAGAATTTTAATTTTCCCGAAGGGGGGAAAAATTCCCCAGAAAGCTTTCCAGCCAGGAAACATCTGAACTCCTTACAAATTAGAACTCTTAACCTAGTTTCCACCTAGACATGATTTGTGGGCTTTTTTTTTTTTTTTTCCTGGGTGGGGGTGGGTGGAGTTGTCAGTATAAGTTACCTCGAAGTTTGTCTCCAATTCTAAGCCTGATTCAAAATTGGAGAAAAAGCAGTGGAACACACCAAAATTCTGGATTCTTCCCACCCTCTCCACCTCCAAAGAAAAGAAAAAAAGAATTCCTGCTCTGCTCTCTATTTCACTCTCCATTTCTGCGATGACCTAGTTCTTCTGCAAGAGAAAAATTGGCACCGGGATGTGCCAATGTGAGCAAAGGTACTATTCCGGATTTAAGATACAGCAGTGCCTGAACCTCCTGACCTCCAATCATTTGATAACTTCTGGGGGACTCAGGCCCCTGGACTGGAGCAAACAAACCGCTGCAGGAGAGACTGACAAAGTGGGCCAGGCCCCGGGGTAACAATCCCCACGGCAGGGAACCGCCGGGGGCGGGCCGGCCTGGAGTCTCGGGTTTATCCTCAGTGACTGGGACACAGCTGGCTTTGAAAAAGGACATTAAATATACAGCACCACAGTTTGGTCTCGGGCCCAGCCTCTGGTCGGTGGCGCCTCGCCATTCGTCTTCGCCAGCCAGGCCCTGGCCCCGGTACCCTAGATAAAAGGAATGCCCAGCAGCTCGCAGTCACACCTGTTAGGTGCGCAGTGCCTCCGCCCCAGCCAACGCCTCCTGCCCTGCCAGGGAGCCGGGTGCAGAGCCGGGGACGCGATGGGAGAGGCAGGGCCAGGCCTTCCCCAGCGGACTCCGCGGGGCTCAGCGCGCAGGGCTGGTGCGGGGAGGGAGGGGGGCAGCGAAGGAGGGAGAGGTCGGTCGACCCGGGCCGAGAGAGCCATGGGGAGGGCCGGGGGAAGGGGCGTCGCTGCTCGCGTTACGCTCCCACAGCCTGCAGCAGAGGCGGCGGGGCTGAGCCGCGGAGGAGATGGGCTTTGCACCAGCGCCTGCATTTCTCCTCGCGGCCCCGGCTCCACCGCCCCTCGCCGGGCCTCGGCGCCCGATAGGCCGCGCAGAGTGAGCGCTGGCGCCGGCCGGCGGCACCTCGCCGAGGACTGCAGGCGAGGGCGCCGCGGGGTCGCCGGCCGAGGGCGCCGCGCTGCCCGCTTGGATGCGCCTCTACTTCTACGGGATGCACGGGGTCACCCTGGACGTGCTCCTGTCCGCGGCGCGGCGCTTCGCTCGCCGCCCGGACCTCCGGATGCTGGGCTTCTCCTCGCCCTACCGCTGCCTCCTGCACTCGCTCACCCACTTGGCCCTGGAGAAAGTCTACTTGCAGCAGCGGCGCTGCCCCAGCGCCTTCGTCTTCAATTTCCTCCTCTACCCCTCGGCCCACGTGGGGCTGCAGACCCTGGCTGGCGCGCTGCTCCGCCGGGTCGGCGGGCCGGGGGGCGCAGCGGCGCCGGGGGCGCTGGACTTGGCCGTGCAGTACATGCTGGCTCTGTATCACTGCCAAGTATTCCTGAAGCGCTTCCTGCGCTTGCGGTACCAGAGGCGGCAACAGCTGCGGGGCGCGCCCCCAACCCCTGCCGGCGCCCGGGCCCCAGCGACAGCCGGTGGTCGGCGGCGGCGACCTCGCGGTCCCAGGGGCGCCGGGGGAGCCCCCAGGCAGGGGCTGCCGGACCCGCTCCGCTTCCTTTTCTTCGGAATGCACGGCTTTTTGGATGAGATCTTCTTCACCTTCTTCTTTAACCTGCTGGGGCCCGGGGACGGGACGAGCAGCGGCCACACGTCGCTCTGGTCCTTCTTTATGTACGGCAGCTGTAGTTTTGTGGTGGAAAAGCTCTATTTCCACCTCCACTACAGTCGGGGCTGGGGCACCTGGAAGCGAGTACCCTTCTACGTGATCTTCATCTACGCGTGGGAGTTGTCCTGGGGCCTGGGACTCCGCACTTGGGGAGCCTGTTCCTGGGACTATTCTCACTATCCGCTCAATTTCATGGGCCTTATCACTCTGATGTATTTACCTGGTTGGATTTTCCTTAGTGTGTACCAGGACCTACTTTCCAATGTGTTGTGGCGGGTGCAATACGTACCTACTAACTAAGACCAAAAAAAAAGGGGGGCACTAGATTGTCATGAATGAAGGCGATTTATTTTTACACAATAAAACGGAGGTTTTTACCTGGTTGGATTTTCCTTAGTGTGTACCAGGACCTACTTTCCAATGTGTTGTGGCGGGTGCAATACGTACCTACTAACTAAGACCAAAAAAAAAGGGGGGCACTAGATTGTCATGAATGAAGGCGATTTATTTTTACACAATAAAACGGAGGTTTTTTTTTTTTTTTTTAGCCTTTTAATTTTTATACCTTTTACTAAACTTTTCCAACCTGTTTTATTCGACATTTTAGTTTTTCTATTGGGAACGTATGCATAATACTATAATACTTTGAAATATTGCTGGAAATGTAACTCCAAGTACTTAACTCATTAGCGAGGTATTTTAAAACCCTCGCTAGTCCAAACAGCAGACCATCATACCTTAACATCAGAAAGTTGTAGTATTCACTTATTTGCACTTATTTGGCGTAGGTGGGTGATAGTTGCTAATTTTTTTTATTTTTTAAGTAAGGTAGTTCTTCAACTCAGAGACCAGTGATTTTTACAAGATTTGGGGAAGTTTTTTGATTTAATGATTTGTTTACTTTCCTTTTAATCCAATGTCATTTTAATTTCCTGCCATGTTTACCAGTGACTGCTGAAATCCAGTGTGTTGTACTCCTGAAACTACAATTAATAGCTTTTAAAGTGCCTCTGTATAGCACACAAATGAAAAGAAACTGACAAATTTGAAAACACACCCTATGAATCGATTTTTAGATAAGAAATCTCTAGCAACTCAGATAGGTAACACTGTGTTAAGATATGACCTCCTTCCTGGAAATGATTGCTTTCCAATGTGGATTAACCTTAAACGCCAAATGTGTTAACTTTTATCAGATCTTGTGTTATCTTTGGCTGTAAATTTTAGTCCTTATGCAATCATGTAAAATGTCTACTTTACATGTGCAAGGGCCATGCAAAATTATACCACCCTTAATAGTGTTCTAACCATAAGGACTCTTTTCTATATGGGGTTTCAAGAGTAGAAGCAATCCTATGGAATAAAATGAACTAGAACATTCACCCTAATTGCACTAGCCCTAATTGTTTTTGGAGAATACAGATATGTGTTTTCAGCCTATTTCTGCCATGGCTTACTTGTAAACATTTTTCCGTTTCCTTTGGGTCCCATACAGAGTTCCTGGACTAAAGTCCAATGTAATAATGTTCATTATAAATCAATGATAGCTCTTTGGTGACTCATTCTTAAAGTCTGGAAGCTCCAAAGTTAAATAAGATGATGTGAATCATTTGAGAAATCATATCTAATCAATTAATAATGTACTTTAAATTTGTTTGCTGTGTTTTTATTATATTTAGAAAAGACAAGTAGAACTGAGTATAGCTCATCCAAGGATGACTAATACCTTCTCAGTTATTGTTATAAAGATAATTAGGAAAGCTTGAAGTGTAAACAAATGAATATATATTCCTATTCAAATTAGCTTGCCTACACTGTAAAAGGGCTTCCCAGGTGGCACTAGTGGTAAATAACCCACTTGCCAGTGCAGGAGGCATAAGATATGCAGGTTTGATCCTTGGGTTGGGAAGATCCCCCAGAGGAGAGAGCATGGCAACCCAGTATTCTTGCTTGGAAAATGCCATGAGCCGAGGAGCCTGGCAGGCTACAGTCCATAGGTCACAAATAGGTGGACATGATAAACGACTAACACTTTCACTTCACAGCAGAACTTTTGGGAGATCAGCTCAATTCTGCTTCTCCTCTTCTCTGTCACGCTGGTTGTTTTAGCCAGTCAAAGCTTGAGTAGAAACTGCTGGAAATAAGTTAAATGTTTGCAGAGAGTAAAAGTGTCACTTTGTGGAAAAGATTTCTGAAAACCTGGGAAGAGAAATAAAATGTAAATATAGACACTAAAGTTAGTCAGATGCTGGACAAAATATTTGTAATTCAAATCTGTCACATGTGCATGAGCCGAAGTTAAGTGTGGCTTGGCTCCACACCACATATTCCAGTGAAGGCATAACCAAATCCACAGCTTCTGGAATACTGGCTAATTGTATATATTCACCCTGCTCTCATTCATATGCTGTTCCTTCTGCTTGCTTAAACTGCTAGCCAGCATTCTCAGGTCAGTCATCAGGAAGGAACAAAGCTTGCTATTTTGTTTGTTTTGCTTTCCATGTTAATCCTATTTAAAGGAAAGGTCAAGATTTTTCATTGATTCAGTTCATCCAAGAAATAGTTATTATGAGCCTGCTATTTTTCAGATGCTTGCCTGGACTCTGTGACTACAGCCATGACCCAACATAGACAAAAATCTCTGTCCTGATGGAGCTCACATTAGAATGTGAGTACATTGCTTTATATGAGATTATGCAGATTTGCAAGGCTACTGTTTTCGTATTAGTAATAGGTTATGAGAGGCAGATGGTGTCAGGGTTCTCATCAGGGCTCTCCCTGGAATATCAATCCATCAGTCTCTAAAACAAAAGCCCATTAACATTCCCTGGTGCTAGTTCTACAAAGAGCCCTGTTCATTTGTATTCAGGAAGTAATTAGCCTGTCTGTTAATTCAGCACCTTGCTTTAAGGCTTCTCATTCTGTGTTTACTCAACTTAAAAGTAACATTTGCTGCAATTTTTGAACCTTTCAAGAAAAAGCAGGGAAAGAAAAGAACCATCAGGCTGATCAACTTGGTTACTCAGTAGTAGTTCAGATATAGAAGTGATAAGGCAGTACAATATTAACTATTACAATAATAGCTAATATTTAGGTATAATATTTAGGTAGTGCTTACCACCTACCAAGAACTGCACTATTAACATATGTATATACTTTTAAATAAATATATGTATATATTTATGTATATCTTAAATGAATATATTACATACATCTCATATATATGTATTTAATGTTAAGTAATACATAATATTTTAGGCTCATATATGATATAAATTTAAGATACAACAACTCATATATGATATATATACCTTAAGTATGTGTGTGTGTGTGTATGTGTGTGTGTGCTCAGTCCCTCAATTACGTCTGACTCTTGTGACTCCATGGACTGCAGCCCACCAGGCTCCTCCGTCCATGGGATTTTCCAGGCAAGGCTACTGGAGTGGGTTGCCATTTCCTTCTCCAGGGGATCTTCCCAACCAAGGGATCAAACCAGGTCTCTTGCGTCTCCTACATCGGCACAAACACACGCACGTACATATTTACTTAAACCTCTAACAACTCTTTCTCATGAGGACAGTGAAGCTAAGCCCAAAGAGGTAACTTGGTTAAGTAATCAAGCCATACAGCTATTTAGACAGAATCCAAGTACACTGGACTCTAGGCTCTGTTCTTAACAGAAAGCTTGGCCTGCCTCAACCTGCTGACCACAGTGATTTGGGATCTCCTGTGGATTTCACCTTACAATCTGTATTTTCTCTTCTCTGGCACTATCATAGATGCAAGGGCAGCTATATAAAAGTTAAATACTAGTAGCAAAGATATTCTTTCATGTTGCCTTTTTAGTCTCTGGAAATAACAGGGTGCTAATACCAGGATGCCTAACTTCCAGTCAGCCTAGCTCTAAGTCCCAGATGACAGATTTTCTAGTCAAGCAGTGCTCTGCGGTAGAGTTCCTCATCTGAAGTCAGATGATCTTGAATATAAGAATACTCTATCAAAATGCAAGATAACATATCACAAGCAAGAAAAAATATATATAATGAAGACTCTCTTCTTTAATATAGCATTCAGAATGAGCGTCACTGTAAGAGCTAAACAACCCCAGAATTAAAATTTTTTGCAGAGATATTTGTTCTGCATTCAGTTAATCACCTTAGAGTTGAAGAAAGTGTTTTCTTTTTTTTTTTTTGCCACATGGCATTTGGAATGCTAATTCCCCCACTAGTGATTGAATGCACTCCATCTGCCTTGGAAGAACAACATCTTAACCACTGGGGCTCCAGAAAAGTCCCAAGAAAGGTCTTCCTGGAAAAACATGAAAAAAAAGTAATAATTGTGGTTCTCATTCCATGTTTAACTTAGGCAGTGCTGAAATTTCTTACATAAAGTGCTTTAAATTTTAAATCAATTCTATCTCAGCTTTCAATCTAAAGAGAAATTTTAAGTTTTTCATGGTATCAATTAATATAGATGTTCCTGTGTTAAACCAGGACTCCAGCAATGTTGATAATCCATTTCAGTATTTCACACATTTCACTGTACTTAACTTTGAATATTTCATTACAAATATTTGACATTTTATGTTAAAGTCAGCTTAGAAAAATATGATGTGCTTTGTTGTTTAAGAATTATGAATTGGTTAATCCTACCCCTTTAAAAGATAATAATTTCTACTGTTTTGAAATAGTCTCCGCTGGCTTGATGGACCTGGTTCTATTTAAAAAAGACTTGCCTCAACCTGCTGACCACAGTGATTTGGGATCTCCTGTGGATTTCACCTTACAATCTGTATTTTCTCTTCTCTGGCACTATCATAGATGCAAGGGCAGCTATATAAAAGTTAAATACTAGTAGCAAAGATATTCTTTCATGTTGCCTTTTTAGTCTCTGGAAATAACAGGGTGCTAATACCAGGATGCCTAACTTCCAGTCAGCCTAGCTCTAAGTCCCAGATGACAGATTTTCTAGTCAAGCAGTGCTCTGCGGTAGAGTTCCTCATCTGAAGTCAGATGATCTTGAATATAAGAATACTCTATCAAAATGCAAGATAACATATCACAAGCAAGAAAAAATATATATAATGAAGACTCTCTTCTTTAATATAGCATTCAGAATGAGCGTCACTGTAAGAGCTAAACAACCCCAGAATTAAAATTTTTTGCAGAGATATTTGTTCTGCATTCAGTTAATCACCTTAGAGTTGAAGAAAGTGTTTTCTTTTTTTTTTTTTGCCACATGGCATTTGGAATGCTAATTCCCCCACTAGTGATTGAATGCACTCCATCTGCCTTGGAAGAACAACATCTTAACCACTGGGGCTCCAGAAAAGTCCCAAGAAAGGTCTTCCTGGAAAAACATGAAAAAA